TTATTTTTTATGTTCAGTAGGTCAATGTCAGGTTTCAGGAGTACACTGCTGCCTCTATTTCTGCTGTGGMTATATTGTCAGGTTCATCACTAACTCCACAACCCAGGATTGTTCCACTGCCATACATGAGCCTCACTGTCTAGGAGCTTTCTCTTAGCATGAGCTGGGAATACCAGAAGTTTCAGGTAATAAGAAATCTACAAGCAGCCTTCAGCTCATGAGATGGGTCTGGAAACATAAATATCTACTTCCTCCCTATCGTAGAATAGGAAAACTTACATTACATATAAGTTTATATTCTTTTGGTGGTTTCAGCATGGTAATCTTAATTTTCTCCCTAAAGGTTAAACACCTGATGACAATATTATTATTTTAAGACTATGGTAGACAGTCCAATGAAGCACTTGAAATTAAGGAATAGTGAATAGTTGTAGAAAAAAAAAAAGAAAAAGCATATGCAATCATCTCAATTGACAGAAAAAAAGCATCTGACAAAGTTTAACACCTATTCACTATAAAATTCAACACCAGTTCAATGCTCAATGATCTAGAATAGAATGAGAACACCTTACCATAATAAAGACCATAAATGAAAAGCATTATATTCAAAGCCGAAAGATTCAAATATTTTTTCTGTGAGRTCAGTAATAAAGCAAAGATGCCTACTTTAACCATTTCTAAATCAACATATTACTGAAAGTTCAAGCCTGAATAGTTAGGCAAGAAAAATAAATAAAAGGCACCCAAATTGGKAGCGAGAAAGTAAGTTGATCTCTATTCAGATATGATAAAAACTTTTGTGTAGAAAACCTAAATATTCTTCAAAAAAAAACTTTTCAAACTAATGAACAAATTTAGTAAAATATCATGGTACAAAATCAACATGCAAAATTCACATTCCTGTTAATGAACAATCCAAAAAGAAATTTAAGAACACAATCTTCTAACAGTATAATCAGACTAAAACAGTAAACAATTAACCAAAGAAGTGAAAGATTTGTAAAATAAACACTACTGAAATTCAGTAGTAGCAAACACATAAATAAGTGGAAAGATATCCCATGCTCATSGATCAGAAGTTGTAAAAATTTAAAACTTCCATAACATTCAAAGTGATTTACAGATTCAATAAAAGTCCTAACAAAATTACATTAGCATTTTCTGTATAAATAGAAAAATCTACTCTGAACTTCATATAAATCTCAAGGAATCCCAGATAGTCACACAATTTGGAAAATGAACAAAGCTGGATGCCACATACTTTCTAATTTCAAATTTCTTAATAAATACACAGTGGAAAATGAAATAGTGTGTTACTGGAATAAAGACAAATATAAAGATCAATGGATCATATGGAGCACAGAACCACAACCTTGCATATATAGTAAATTATTTTTTACAAGAGTTTCAAGATGCACATGGTGTTAGAAAACTAGTTTCCAAATGCAAAAGAATCAATGGACCCTTACCAAACACCATATACATAAAACAACTCAAAGGGAAAGGACATATAAGTAAGAGTTAAAACTATAAATACAAGAAAACATACAAGAAAGGTTGATGACACTGGATTTGACAGTGGTTTCTTAGATATAGCACAACACCCAGTTAAAGAAAAAATAGAAACATTGAATCTAATCAAAACTAAGCTTTTTTTTGCATGAAAGAGAGCTATCAACACAGTGAAATGGCAATCCATAAGTTAGAAAAAAAACATTTGCAAATCACAAATTTGRTAAGGGATTACTATGCGAAATAAAGAATTCCTGCAACTCAACTTCGAAATAACACCACCAAAATGGGCACAGGATATGAAGAGACATTTTTCTAAAGAAATATATAAGTGGATAATAAGTTCATAAAACAATGATCAGCCTTACTAATAAATAGAAGAGTGCAAATGAAAACCACGAGATTCCAACTCACACTCATATGAATACCTATTATCAAAAATACGTAAAATAAAAGGTTTGAAGTAGAATGTGGAGAAATTAAAAGCCTTCTGCACTACTTGTTGRAACAGAAAAGAATGCAGCTACTGTGGAAAATAGTATGGCAGTTCCTTGAAAAAATTAATCAAAGAACTATTGTTTTATCTATTTCATTTTGGGATATATACACAAAAGAATTAAGTATTGGGACTCAGAATTATTTGCATACTCACATTCAGGGCAGAACTTTTAGAAAGATCCAAAAGGTTGAAGCAACCTTTTAGATAGTAGTCCACTGTTGAATGGGTAGGTAAACAAAGTCCTATATAAATACAATGAAAATTAATATGTCATAACTGGAAACGAAATTCTGAGATAGATGTATCTCAAAAATATTATGATGAATTCTTTGAGATAGATGACCATCAAAAACATTATGCTAAGCGAGATATAGAGAGGATCGAATATTCCATGATTTTGCTTATATAAATTACCTAGAATATCAATACATAGAGGGACAAAATGTACAACAGGGATTATGAGGACTAAAGCAACTAATTAGTAGGGGATGACAAATATTTTGGAAATAAATAGTGTGGTGCTTGTGACAATAATGCATGTACACTTTGTCACTGAACTGCACATTTTAAAATTTCTGAAATGGTAATACTTTTGTTATGTGTAATTAAAAAAAWTTTTTTAGTTGTTGATAGACCTTTATTTTATTTGTTTATATGCAGGGCTGAGAATCAAAGCCAGTGCCTCACACATGACCAGGCAAGTGTGCCACTTCTGAGCCCCAGCCCCAGCCCCTTGTTACATGTAAAATAACTTTTTAAAAGTTTAGCTGACCAGGTATGCATGGTTCTATTTCTGGACCATCTTTAATGTTCCACAGATTGATGTGCCCATATTTATGAAAATATCACACTGTGCTTATTTTTCAAAACTTACAGCATGTTCTGAGATCAAGACATATAAAATTTCATATAAAACATTTTTCTATTTATTCAAGATAATTTTAGCTATTACAAGTCTTTTGTATTTCTAAGAAAATTTTAGAATCAACATGAACAGTTATAAAAATATGTTGGGATTTTGAACTAATTTGTGATAGTTAAGAAGACATGACAACTTGTCAATTTTAGTGCTCAATTCATGATCATGATGTGTTTCTCCATTTACTTCCTCATTTCATTTAACTTTTTTTTTTATTATGGTTTAGTAGTTTCAGGGTAGACCCCATATACATTTTTTGTTACATTTATTTCCTAATATATTATATTTTGACATACTATAAATTACATTTTTTTCTTTTTTTCCATTGCTTGTTACCAGCTATCGAAACACAATTCACTTGGATTGTCATCATTATTTCTAGCAACCTTGCCACACTTATGTGTCATTTTATTTTTTGTAGATTTATTTGGAATTTCTCTGTTTTACATTATGAAATTCACAAATAACCCAATTTTAACTCTTTCCTTAAAATTATTATGCTGTGTATATCTATTTTCTTACTTTCTGTACCAGGTAGAACATATGGAATCTCAGGTAAAAGTTAGGCAAGCAATGATCACCAGTTTGTTTCAGTCTTGCAAAGAAAGCTCTGTGTTAACCATAAYGTTAGTGAAAAATAATCATTACGTTATTCGTATTTTGTTGAAAGTAAATCACTTTTTTATATTTGTTGGCATTACAATTAAAAGTTTCCCCTTAACTGTATTTGAATCCTTCCCAGAATTCTAAGCTTTATTTATAGGCACAATTTATCTTCAAAAAGGAGATTCGGTCTATGTGTATTAGTGTCTTGACTGCAAAATTAAAATCGATACATTATTTCAGTGAAAATACTGAGTTTCACTCATTACATTTAACTGATCCAGGAACTGTGTGATTTATTTATTCCAGAGACTTATGTGAATATACCTCTTCTCACAAAAAAAAAGGAAAAGAAAGAAAAAATATCTATCACTCTTCTGTTATTAACCAAGAGGAGGAAAGGGCAACCCCATGGGAACAGTTTAATCAGCCTTGATATCCAAGTCCATGATTCAGGATGATTTAAATGGTCTGTGACAAAAGAATAGTTAACAGTCTGCAAAATGTCCATTATCTTCAGTTAGCAAAGGCCTATTGATTTAGGACCTTGTGTGACTCCCATAGGGTGTGAGTAAGAAGTGATGTGAAAACTCCAATTCAGCATTATTCACCACCAGCAAAACACTCGGAGGTAAGTCTGTTAGGAAGGTACAAATTAAATCTTCATGCTAAATAGTTGTAGATGTCTGGGGAAATCAGGGAGCAGAACGTTTGATACTATCTATAATTTTCTTCTGAGGTCACATATGGCAATCCTGTTAAAATGATGTCTTTAACGAGGTTGTACAATGAATGAAAAACTCTAGAAATTGCCCTGTTTATGATAAAATCTGTTTGTTAAATAAAACCTAAGCTCACCTAAGGATGTCTTCCACAGCTGTACTTCTTTGCTAGAAAATACACCTATCTGTTTGTGTAGTAATTTATGCCTCTTTCTGAAGCACGGCTTGACATATCAAGAGCATAGAGAGTTGTAGAGAAGAGCTGCCTAACACTTAGGTATAATTCTATCTTGGAGGTCCACAGAATCCTTCAGGTATAATCCTAGGGTCAGTCATTCACCATGAGTTCAGTGACTGCTACTGAGACCCTCCTGCCTCACTGGCATTGGGAAAAGGGTTCAAAGTGATGCAAGATAAAACAAATGCATGCGACACAATCTGGCACCTTCTCAATTAGCCCTTGTCTGAGAAGGTAGGATACACTCTATGATCAGAAAATGCAAGTGCAAGTCACTCCTATGAAAGATGAACGTCCTTGTGATGACAGCCAGGAGCCCACAGACACTGAGCTAGAGGTGATGTGTTTGTGGATCCAGCAAAATCCTCAGACCTGGGCGTGGCTTAGCCTTATGAACAACAATTGCATGTAGGACCATTGACTAGGCTCTCAATGAACAAGAAAAATATAAATATTTCTTAACAAAAGACAAAAGTGAACAACTTAACAAAAGTAAGAGCTACTTACACCAGAATAGAAAGGCTCACCAGACACACAAATCACATCCTGYTCCTGGATGATCAGAATATCTTTGGCTAGGTGCAGCCGGACTTTGAAAGGCTCCTGATTACCATCCTGCAGCAAACAAATCCCTGTCTTTGTCTTCAGAGAAAAAAGAAGAAGGAAAAAAAAAGAACAAAGTATAGTTATAGGTTATAATTTTATGGCCTATTTACAGCCAAACCCATTAAATAACATTTCACAGCTGGGAAATATATACTTTGGTGAGTCTGATATTTATTACTTTATTGTRCAGAGAAATGGTAAAACCATTTTAAACAAATTAGACGCATGGATTATGGACATTATGTCAACAATGCCACATGAAATTTTGGAAACTAAGAATTATARCAAAAGTACTGTACTATGTTTGAAAAATAATAAGAGTTTATATGAATACTTTTAATTTGAACATAAAAGTAATAGTTTTATTGAGATACAATTAACATTTCATATAACTTGACTTTTTAAAGTATATAGTTAATTTTTTATAATATTCAGATGTACAAGCATCAAAATGAGCAATTCTAGAACATTTTGAACATCTGTGAAATAACTGCATACCTCTGTCTCTCCCTGCCCAAGCCTAGACAAACACTAATTTACTTTCTGTATCCATCATAAAATTTGGCATCTGGACACATACCTACTTAACATATCAGGGATTGAACTCAGGGGAACTCAACTACTAAGCCACATCCCCAGCCCTATTTTGTATTTTATTCAGGGATGGGTCTCACTGAGTTGCTTAGTGCCTCGTTTTTTGCTGAGGCTGGCTTTGAACTCACGATCCTCCTTCCTCAGCCTCTGGAGCCTCTGGGGTTACAGGAATGCTCCACTGTGCCTGACCCTACTTAACTTTCAGTGTAACTGCTCTATACTAGCATTCCTATTTGTCCCACACTTTGTACTTCAGATGGAATGAGGAAAAGTGGTAAGTGAATTATCTAAATTAATGATATAAAACAGATCCTAATTTAAAGTCCAAAAAYTTTTGTTCCTAAATGAATCAACGTGCTTCGCATATTTTTGGAAAATGTGAAGAAAAGACTGTGAGGACTTCTGAACCTTGTACTACAGAGCTTTAAATCACAGACTTCATAATCACTGAAGAAGACTGGATCTTGTCAGCCTCAAAAACCTTGATTTTATTATAGTCACCCTAGCAAGGGCATTTAGCATTCCTATTTGTCATGCTATGAACCGAAATTCATGTCAAACAGAATATAATCTCTAATTCTTATTATGAACWAAAAAGTCAACAGGAGCAATGACTACTTCAGAAATGCCTTTTTTTTGTTTGATCAATTAATGAATCATTCTTGATGAATGGATAATACATAGGGAGGCATATTTATCCTTAGTATTTGAGAGTTGYATTACCCCAGACAAATAATACCAGGTTTTCTTGTGTAATTTAATTTTCCATGGGGATTCTTAGGAGTTTCTTTCTTTGGAAGAATTTTCCAGAATGTTGACGAGCATATATTTAGATACTGCAGCTTCCAAAGCTAGCTCTTTCTGCAAACTGATTTATCACATGTACAGAGGCACACCATTTTATCCTCCATATYACATACAATCATACACCCGCCTGTAAGTATTTTAAAGGGTGCATGTCTTTTTTAGGAAGTACAGAAGCTTTTTTAAGAGCAAGGACAACATTCTTTTCTCMTCTCTGGCAGCAGCACTCAGCAGATGCTCACTAAATCATGCCGATTAATCTATTCACCAGTGTCATTCAACTGGATATGTCCAGAGGACAAAAATATTTCAGAACAAGCAAATTATACTTCCCTTAGTATAAAACAGTTTTTCTGAATTTTTCTCATGAACAATTCTTTCACGCTTTCAGTGTGATCTTGGCTGGGGACCAACTCGGAGACACTCTAAGGGACACAGGGAGGAGTGGGGATATAAAATAATACATCAAAGCCAAGTGATCATAATTGAGCACATTGGACAGTTTTTCAATGAAAGGTAGACTCTGGGCCAATTTGTTCCCCAGACATGTAATGGAATAGCTGGTAATCACAAGTAATGCTGTTTCAACTTCAGGATGAGAAAGGGGCTTTTCCCTGAGAGCTCAGAAATATATTATTGTTTCACATCAAAGAGATGTACAAGATCAGCAGGGAAAGGTTGGAGAGCTCCACAGAGCCAGGAGCGTTCTCTCATCTCATTTCTGATGTGGTCCAAGTTAGCATTGCACAAGTAATGTGACAAACGTCCCCAGTTTATTAAATAACTTTCTGGAAAGCAGAATACAGAGTTTTGAGCTCCCTCTAGTTTCCTGAGATGTCAAGATTTACAAAAAATAATAATAATAATAATAATTAAGCAGCTTTTCATTAGAAGAAAACACCCCTTACCACCACCACCAATAAAATGTGTGTTCTGTTTGTGCTCAGAAAGCTGAGGAAAAATTGACATTAAAATATATTTTACCACGAAAATTCAGCTGTGCATGTGAAAATACATTTTACATCTCACAAATGCATGACTTTTGCAAATATTGTATTACATTAGCAGAGAATCAGACATGAATTTAGACAAATAGTCTTTGGTTTCAAAGTATTCTTACTTATTACAATAGTACACAACTGGATGTGGTTGTACTGTAATCCCAGAGACATGGGAGACTGAGGTAGGAGGATCAGGAGTCCAAGCAAGGCTGTCAAGCTAGATGAAATAAGCCAATTACAGAAACCAAAGGCCAAATGWGCTCTCTGATATGTGGATGCTGATACAAAATAAGGGAGGGTGGAGACTAGAAGTTTATTGGAGTAGACAAAAAGGAAGGATGGGGAGGGAGAGAGGATGGAAATGGGAAAGACAGTAGAGTGAATTGGATAGAACTTTCCTATGTGCATCTATGAATACACAATAAGTGAAAATCTTCATCAGGCACTACCACAAGAATGGAATCCTAATTAGAGTCAGTTGTATTCCATGTATGTACAATATGTCAAAATACACTCTGTYATGTATATCTAAAAAAGAACGAATTTTTAAAAAGCAGAGTTTAAGAACTGCCTGTCTGAATACAAAAGAAAAATAMATAAAAGGTCCAGGGATATATGGGGATGTGGCTCAGTAGTACTGGGTTCAATCCACAGTACCAAAAGATATGTATATAAATACGATGTGATGTGATACATGAGATGGCAGCATTGTATAGAGGGCAATGAGATATTTTTCAGAGGAGGAGGTTTCAAGGAGGACTGATAGAAGATGTGTATAGTTCTACTGAAAAATAAATTGGGGAARCAATTATTAAGAGGATCCAAAGATATTTTAATCAATGGGAAAAATGAGTATGCCTATCTCATGGGATGTAAAAAGATGGAAGTAAAAGTCAATTTCAATACTGGGCTTGTGTGAGCCATCAGAGGAGTGGGAGAGAAGTGCTGGGTGAAGATTAGGCAGGTCCAGGTTCCTGTAGAATGTGGCAGGGGTTTGAAGATGATGGAGATACCCTGGCAACATGCCAGTGATGAAATAATATGCTCACATTTGTATGTTCTAACTAATTTCTTACAGCAGTGAGGAAGATGGAAAGTAAATGGGAAAGTGAAAATATGTAACTGTTATCAGAAGCAAACACTCTGGTCAGAGGATGTTAGGGAGTGGTAAACAGCTGCACTTAGAGTTCTTTTAGGACATTAAAAGAGTAGGGGAAATTGATTGCAGGGCACTCTCCTGAGGAAGAACAGAGTGGGGGCATGGGGATTCTCACTAAAGAAATATGGTCACCTATTTCATTTATTTGTTGTTAATAACTACTCAGATGTGTTTACTAAATGCAAAGAAACAGTAATTTGCTTTGCTGTTCAAAAACCCAGTGCAATTGCTTTCACAGACAGAACAAGACCAGAGATGAAGTTATAGGGCAGAACTAAGCCAGGCTGCTGAAACCAGGTTCTGTGTTCTGTACTAGTTGCTTTGGGCTCACTTACACTGAGGTTATTTAGGGAGATCTTCCCAATTATCCTGCATAAGATGGTATAGCCCTTTGCATCTTYCACTAGATAGAATTTTGGTTATCAAAATATTCCAATGGAACTGAGGTTTTAGCTCAGTGGTAGAGMATTTACCTGGCCTGCTTGAGGTCCTGAGTTCCAAACTTAGCACAAAACAAAATGAATGAAAATAAAAACAACAAATAAAAAATGCAAACAATAAAAATAACAAAAACAAAAAACTAATTTTTATGTAGTGTGAATAATTCTGAAAAGGACAATATCATCTTGCAACAGCTGCTCATCATGGGTCAAAGCAATGACCACTGGAGATAAGAAACCACTCTCAAGATATCTATTATTAATTAATTATCTATTAATTTTTCCCTAAAGCCATGCTGCTAGAGGGCATAGGACTCTATATGATGTGGGAAGAGATTTTTATCTCCACTCCATTATGATTTCTTCAGAGGATAAGAATTGGAATTCTTTTGAAAGTGGGAGAGGCTGCTAGTGCTGTCCAAACTAAAAGAAACCACAGCTACAACAACTTCAGAGGTCCAAGGAACCAAATTCTTTAAAATTAGAAATAATCTAAACACTTATAGGCCTCCAATATTAGTATCAACTTACAACATACACCATCTTCCTTTTTCTTTATTAACATGAAGCAATTAACAATTATTCATTGCATGTAAGTGAATAAATACATGTAATATGTGTTTATATATAAAATGTAAAAATATCTTACAAAATTATAAATTGTAAAGTACACCAATAAATTAAAATTCTAAAGGAAGGAATTATTCATAAAAATGTTATAACTCAAATATTATTTTTCTGTGCCTGATTAACAATCCTATATAATATCTGGATTTTACAGATTCCACATTGGACACCATTTGCACAAATAAATGATTAAAAGTGACATTTCTTAGTTATGTAAAAGGCAATATTTTAGAATGCTATGTTTTATCCAAATCAATTAAATATGGTTATAAATTTTCAGGAATTTACTTTGTTATTAAAACAAATGCCACATTTAAACTTTTTAAATTTTATACTTGCTTCAACTTAGTACATATTTTGGAACTTTAAAAAAGTAGATCTTTATCTACTTTCTTCTTAAAAATTAATAACTGTTTTAAATTTCTGTTCTTGTTGCTTAAAAAACACAAAATGTGCTTGCTTGGAACTTTAAAGTCTACATCTTTAAATTTTGAAATGAAAATCTGCAATATACTATGTAAGAAACCAGGCAGAAACAATAATATAAAACTGCAAATACTCTTGCAGGTRTTTCTATATTTTGGTTGACAAATACACATTAATTTGTTTTGTAAATCTGTGGTCTTAAGTACTATGCAATTTTTACTACATCACAGCAGTAGTGCATTGAATATTATTCCAGGCAACATGCTTCAAACTCTATTTTATATTTTACCTGCCCCCTTTCTGGATTAATTTGAATCCTGKCTTTCTCCTTAGCTGAATTCTAGTCTTTTGTCAAGTACTGTATAAGGCTTTTTTCTATGTGAAGCCTCTGAAATAATTTCATCCAAGGATGAGTCCTCACTCTTTTGAACTCATACTTTCATAAAATATTTATGTGTCCCTGAAACTCATCAGTACTCTATTTTGGTATCACATGTAATGACATCAAGAGTATTTAGTTCAATATCAACATTATTTAGCTTCCTCTTGTATATTGTTATTACAAGATTTTAATAATAGGCTATTGCTCTTTTCATTACTGATTAATTAATAGGACCTAATATAATAGTTTGATCCTAGCAGAATTTCTTTCAACATTTGTAATCATATTGGGGCTGAAAAAATAGCATCCAAAATACTGGTGCTTTCAGACATGCCTCTGATTTAGGGTCCCCTCTGATCTATCCTTGTTTTTCTACCTCCTTGCACAGGGAGAGGCATTTTGCAAATTTCTCATATCTATCCAATCAGATKCCCCCAAAGAGAAAAACAATTGCTTTATACTTTCTTTCTGAAATTGTACTAATAAGAGAAGGCAAAAATCTGGTTGCAACAAGGTAGATTCAAAGCAAAACATCATGCCTAGATCTTAGAAGAACTTTGTCCTGGTCCCATATGTCTGCCCACAAAATAATTTATTAGCCCTCTGGAATTACCTGGATTGCCTATATTCCTACTCTCCTCTCCCCTGTGAGGAGAAGCTTCAACTTTCTCACTTTTACAACTTTTACAACTCCCACTCTGTGTGTGGATCTTATGTTCTGGTACATTAAAATATTTGTATTTTTTTTCCTGCTAATCTGTCTTTTCCAGTTTATTTCATGTAGTGAAATTATTAAACATTCAACAAGGAAGTTAGAACTACAACTGTAACATAGTCATAGATTATATTTCATCATAGAAAGAACTAAAATTATGTACGTGAACAAATTATTTCACATAGTCACGTGTTATGTAAAAGTGGATCTAAGTCTGAGAAGCACACTGTCAGGTGATTTTTATCATTATGGGAAGCTCATGTGGTACTCACATAAGCTGAGATGTTTATGAAGACACCAGGTAACAAAGTATTTTGCCAAAGTATTTTGCCAAAGTATTTTGCCATTATTCAGCGAAAGACTGTATATGTTAAAAGAAATATGTAGCTTCATAATCAACATAAAGATGTAGGTCTTACTTTAATAAAGGCAAATATAAAAAGTGAGGAAAAAATGAAAATAAAYATTGGCTGGAACATACACACTTTWTCTGATGAAATGTTTTTAAAAGCAGAATAATGGTAATCAGAGGCTGACTATATGTATATTAAATAATGTCTTGTTKTGTGTATATTTTTCTGCTAAATTTTATATTTTATATTTGTCCCTAAAGCATTTTATGTAAGTTTCTTCTTTCATTTTTGCTTCTCACTAGACTTCTAAATCCCGGGTATTTTTTTAATTGCAACATTTTGTTTTCAAGAGCAGAAGTTTCTTAATCAATAAATCATTTATTTAAAACGGATTTATATTAGATACTTAAGGTGCTTTTAAAATGATATCATGTGTTCATTCTTCTTTATGTTTTTACAGAGAAGAAACCTCCTGACATCCACAATGCAATAGTCTACYTTGATCTCATGTGCATCAATATCAGGTTTTCATTTTTATTCCTTATTAGTAGTCAAGAGAAAACAAAAATATGGAAATAATATATTCCATGTATCTTTGACTCTAATATAATTTCCAGCAATGAAGTACTCTAGAGAGAGCTTTAAACTTATTATTAGGAGTTCTAAGTTACACATTAATAGTTACACATTACAACACTAATGCTTACAAAATTTTAAATACATTTTTGCAATCGGTTTAGAGAAACAATAAGCAATTGTTTATCTCAGATTCCTGAGAGAAATTTAAGTACATGACATTTCACTAAGAGGAAAATCTTCACAAATGTTAAAGACTAAAGTTTATGATTTCTGTGGCTTGATTTTAACACTACCATAGGTAATCTAGTTATGCCTGTTTTTTTGTTGAGTCACACAAAATAAAAATACTTTAAAATTTGAAAGCAAATGCAAATTTTTTCCTAAAAATATTTTAATTTTACAAGAAGACTGAAAAAAAAAAACCCTCAATTGTTTGAATGACTCAGGCTTAGTGAAAAAAGATAGCCTTTTTTCTTAAGATAGAAAGATTACGTTCCCTGGGGCTCCCATCCAAGCACTATTGAACTGTACACTTGAGTGGTCTTTAATATCCTTGAAAGAGTAATGCATCCCTTTCATGCATACCAGGGTGTGATGGCAGCTTTGCAGAGAAACTGAATTGTTATATATTAATACTTAAATAATACTGAAATACTTAAGAAACATTGGAATCAAAACTTGTAGGATTTTAGTGCCTCCCCCCCCTCAAAAAAAAAAAATACAACCTTAATTGCCCTCTAATTTATAACCATGTATGTGAAAAGAATTCCTTCCAGTAGTTCCTCTCACCATACAGTATTTAGTTGATGGAAAGGAGCAATTCAGTTATTAAATATGCTCCGATCTTCCTAAAGAGTTGAAATCCAGGGCTTCCCCAGGCATACTTTGGTTTTCTAAATTTACTGAAAGAAAACGTACTCTGGATGTAAAAGRATCCGATCACTCACTCATCCTCTGCCCAAAGCAGTGTTCCACCCACAAAAAGTAGGGCCAAGTCTGTCCTGCTTATGTACTGTGTTTTCCTTATGCAAAAAGGCAGAAGGCTATTGCACCTACCTCCTCACAGGCAGTTCTGAAATCCATGTGCTATGGCACCACAAAGGATGTGATCTGGAAAGAGAGAAATCATCAGCCATTAAGCAGAGCATTGAGTGTCAGAGAAGAGAACATTGGTAAAGTGTAAGAAATGGTGAGGCCGATACCATGGGAAAACTGCCTTTGCAACCACTGGCATGAGGGAAAGCAGGAGACGAAAAGGTCTCCATGCCCAGCTTTTGTAAAATATGTATACACTGAAACTGTTTGTGTGATGGAGAATCTGTATTTCCACGCATCTCTACACCCTGCCAGGCATTCAGACATGATCTACAACAGGACTAACCTCTTTTCTCAGGGGTTAGCTCATTGCCACCATTCATTTTGAAACCTGAGTTTGCAGGTGRGAAAGAAACTTCAAATAGGAGTAATTAGGTGTTGCTTTTCATCTGGTTATCTCTCAAAAAAAGGTTGACTGATCTTTCTCTTTTTAATTAAAAAGCTACATGCATGAATAATTCTCTCTGGAATTTAAAATTTTATTCATAAACACCATGATTCAAGGAAGCTCTGTATCAGAGTGCATAATATTAATATAAATCAATGTATGAAATATATAATACAGATTTTCATTTAAGGGTCAATGTAATACCTGCATAATGGATGCAGATTTAAATCATATGAAGGTTTTTTTAAAAGTTCTTTTAAAGAGTTTTGTCTCATTTTATGATTAAAAAAAAGTAGATGTCACACAAAATTGATACCTATCTACAATGACAGGAAACAATGCAGAGTCAAACTGTATTCATTGAGTAAATGAGACTTCAAAGTACAATTTCAAGATACTGCCCCAAATTACTCTCAGTTTTAAATCAGTAAACCATTTTATCCTTCTTTGTTGCATTTTTGTTGTTGTTTGATMAGTTTGAGAATGCTCAACCCAAGTGAGTGGGGTAAAATAGAGAGGAAAGTGTCACCCACACTGACACTGGATTAACGGATCGTTTTTCCTTCTTTTTTCTTTTTTTTTAAAGAAAAGATCGGTTATATTCAGTAGAAACCAAACATGTTATTTAATATTTGAAGTACTTTCCCTGGATAAATCCTGTGGATTGTGAGCTTGTCTTTATTTTACTGAAATGTATAAGTGACTGATTAAAATAAAGTTGGTTAATGATAAATCATTTTCAAATAAAAATACAATTTTATGAAAAATTAATCATTTGATGATACAAATCAGTTAATATTTTAGTGTTCATGTGCATTTTGTTAATATTTAATAAGTTGTTATTATTGAAGACTACTTTTGAAGAACCCGTAAATATCTGCCTATTTCTAACCTAGATAAAAAGTCATCCCTTTACTGTAAATGCAGGAAAAATTTAGTATTTATTCCTTATATAAAAGTAGGAAGTGTCGGGGCTGGTGTTGTGGTTCAGTAGAGCACTTGCCTGGCACGTGTGAGGTACTGGGTTCGATTCTCAGTACCACATAAAAATGATAAAAGTATTGTGTCCATCGACAACTAAAAAAAAAATATTTTTTAAAAAAGTTGGATGTGTACAAACATTTTCCTGCTAACAATTGTAGACTACAGAAATATATATAAAATATTAGCTAACTATCTAAACTCAACCTCATAATTAGTTTCATATGCCAAATTTTATTTTGGTATATACATTTTAAGATGGCATTATTTCTTAACAAAATGGCATATTTGTGCAGGAGCTGTATCTTTTCCTTTACTATTTTAGCCTGTCTTCCTATTTTTTAAATTCTAATTTTCCATCCTCTTTCAAGAAAACATTACATAATATTAGTTGTTTATTCAGAAAAGGGGCTATTAAGGGATTCAGAATATTTTAATTACTAGGTAACAACATTTTATAGCACTCATAAAACTATTTCTAGCATATATAAATTATAAAATGAATATCACACTTAAAGTGTATATCTTTTAGCATAAGCATGCATACTAGAAAGGTTTTAGATTTATAAAAAAAAAAAATGTGAAAGTACCTGAGTTTCTATAAGCCCCACAACCATTTTTCTTTAGTGTTGAGATTTATAGTATTATGACTATGGTGTACAACTAATGCAACATTATTAATACATTGCTACTACCTAAAGGCTAATCTTCTTTCATAGTTTCTTTATTTTCCTTTTGTTCTTTTTCTGTTACTAGGTCGGTCGCACATAAGGTATCAGATTTTATTTAGTTATCCTGTCTTCTCAGGATCTGCTTGACTGTYGCCATTTCTTCGAATTCCCTTGTTTTTAAAGACTGGGACATTGAAGAGTCCTGGTCAGGGATTTGTAAATGTTGTTCCACTGGAAGTATTCTGCATTTTTGTTTTTATAATTAAACTAGAAATATGGTTTAGTGGATAAAAAATGAAGTGATAAAATGGGCATTTTCATTCCAAATATGCCCAAGGATAAATTCTATCAATGTGACAACATTATTAGTGTTTGTCAAAGGTAGTGTTGGTCAGATTTTTCCATTGTTGTTTCTCTTTTTTCCCTTCTTCACCCTGGACTCAATCAACATTAGTAGACCTCACATAATGGGTGGGTATTTATGATTCCCATCTTTTAAGACTTTTGACTCATTTGGAATTATTCTGTACAAGAGACATATTCATTCTCCCACATTTATTGATTAATTCAAATATTCCTCTAAGAATTCTCAACTGATGGAGCAAGGAAATATATATGTGCCAATACATGATATTACTATCTATAAATATTTCTGTATATGATCTGAATTTTATTAAATGAATTTGGATTTCATAGTGATATTCCTCCTGTAAACATAAGAGCATGCTATTCTCCTCTCCTTTCTTATTTGTACATTTCTATTCCAACAATGTGAAATTTATCTCCCAGTTCCCTGCCATTCATGTACTTTATTGTGCATTTGCAGTATACATGATAGCTATATCAGCATTGCTAACTCATAGCAATATGGGAAACAACAACAATACATCAACTACAATAAAGCTTATTATTCATTTAATAGTATAGAATACACTCTATCAAAATTGCCTATATTGGGTGAGGCATGTGACTTAGTGGTAGAACACTTGCCTAGTACATATGAGGGCCTGGATTGACCCTCAATCTCACCTTACACACGCACACACAACACACACACACACACACACACACACACACACACAATGCAAAATTATTTATGTCAACCCCAGTGATAAATGAATAGAAGTGACCACATGCTAGTTTGCTAGTTTCTTTAGAGATCTCATACGTTCCTTCCTGCTCTCTTATACTTCTGCCCTTGCAAGAGATGGTCTTCTTCAAGGAGATGCTGCCCATTTGGCCTGGCCTCAGAATTACACATATGGAACAAAAGTTCTTTAGATGACCCACAAGAATTAGGGGTAAAACAGAACCACCCACATCCATACCTTAAACAGAGATGCCATAGTCAAACTGCAATTCCATGAGTAAAAATAATGCTTAATATTTGTGGTGATTAGCTTTCTATGCCAACTTGGCTCAGCTTTGGTGTCCAGTGGTTCAATCAAGTACTGATCTAGTTGGTACTGTGAAAGTATTATATAGAAATTAATATCTTCATTCAGCTTACCTTATGTAAAGGAGATTATTCTCAACAATGTGGATGGGCCTCATTGAATCCATAAAAAAAGCCTTAATAATAAACACAGAGGTYTCTCTAAGAAGAAATTCTGTCTCGAGATTGCACCATCATCTTCTGCCTAAGAATTTCTAGCTTTCTGAGCTGATGAAAGATTTTGAAATTGCTAACCCTGATAATCATGTTAGCCACATGCACACTAGTTCAGTTTCTCTGAAGACCTCTAGAGAAATACAGATACAGACCAATACAGAATTTGCTACCAAGAATGGTTCTAAAGAAACAGCATCCTAAGGATTATGAATTGGTTTGGGGGGTTTCCAGAATTGATTTGCTAATCTGATTAGAATTAAAGGCACTAAAGACTCTATTTCCAAATTAATGAGAACATTGGTAATCCATGACATGGAGAGACAACAGAGATGCACAACATATCACTGTTGGATGCTCTTAATCACACACCTCCGCAAGGCAAGTTTCTTGGTGACCATAACTTAGAACATTTTTGTCAGACAGGATAATGGGTTTGGCTGCCTGCTTTTAATTATGCCTGAGAGAGGAACAAGGATGAGCTAAGGATTTAAAAGCCTAAGTTAAACTCTGCGTACATAATATGGACATTTCTATGCCTGTTATAAATAAACACTATCTCCTACAGCTACCAGACTAGGATTTCTGAACATTAAATACAAAGTGTGATCCTTCTAGGGGTTAAATTATATCACAAATAAATCTCAAAACTCACAGGATATCTTCTGTTAAATAAGGCATTAATTAGGAACAAACAGATGCTAAACATCAGAATGGAGATGTGTAAGAAGATTGGAATAAAGATGGGGCCAGGGAATCTGTAAATTCCTCTGGGTCTTCCTTATCATTAGAGTTAAAGCCTCATAGATGTAGATGTCCAAAAACACAATGCTYTTTGTCCTGAGGATCCAACCACACCACCCATCTTTGCTTCTATACCTGAAAATACAGTCCTATCCCAACGGGTCCCACAAGGAGAGGTATAAAGTGTGCCCCATAAGAAGGTGTACTAAACTCCAAAATAATTGCATAATTTTTTTAAATTTACATAGAATTCTAGGGAACATGTTTGAGAGTGAATATCAATGATGTAGGATAATGGAAGAAGGAAAATACATTTTTATCAGGTTAATAATATAGCTCCACTAAGTGGAAATTCAGGATTTAAATTCAGGATTAATATTATGGTTTTAGAAAGAGCTTTCACAGTTTGCCTAGTCATTTGGCTTAAACATGGACCCCAAAATGGCCTACACTAAATGATACCAAAATTTCAAAATTGCTTTGAGATATTGCAGAAAAAGAAATACAAAGACTGAAGAGTACTGAAATATAAGAGGAGACAAATCTGTTCACTTGTTTTGAAATGGTCTGGAAAAYCCACCTTCTAATATGACTGTGAGGAATAAATTCATTAAGGGAGCTC